AAATCTAGGTATAATTTATCAATTTAATTTTAGGTACACATTGATTCAAATTTTTATCTTTGAGGGTGTAAATTGAGATTTTTTATCTTTAAGGATGCACATTGATATAAATTTCTATCTTAGAGGGTGTAAATTGAGATTTTTGATCTTTGGGGATATACATTGATACAAATTTTTATCTTTTAAGATGTAAATTGAGATTTGAATGATCTTTCAGGGTATAATTTATAATTAACCCTAAATATAAAGTCTTGAATGCTTGTGAGAGACTCTTTTGGCAGTTCTACCATTGAGAAAAAAACTAAAAGAAAACTTTCAAAGTTATTGTTGAAAGATTGTTGAGAGATCTTTGTAGTGAGCATTACTTGTAAAAATCCCTCTTACTTTGCCTTGAATTTGTGTTGAGAGAATACTTCTTAAGCAAGAGTGAGAGAACATTGTTAGCATTCTTGAAGTGAGCTTTGAAAGAGTGATTTGATTTATGTTCAAGAAGAAGTTTTAAGGTAATCACACCTATCGAAGGGATTCAAGGAAGAGAAAGGGTACCTCCTAAAGTAGAAGAAAGAGAGGATGTGGGCCAAGTGTATTGAGGCTAAACCTCTATAAACCTTGTGTTTGCTTTTCTCTCTCTCTTAAACTTACACACATTACTTGCTTACTAACACTCACTACATTCATATTAATCATACTCTTGTACTTAGACTAAATAATTTCACAATTTATGAAATTGATTTTTAATTAAACATTGTTGAGAAAAACATAATTCACCTCCTCTTAAGTTGCATATTGGGCCAACAAGGGAGGCTCACAAATACATTGCTGGTTTAATGTGTTTGGTCACACTATTTGAGCAACAATTTTTGTTTTAAGTTTTGGTCGCTTTAGTTTTTCTATAAACAAATTGAGTCATTCGGGCTCAACTTTGTGTTGGCTCGTTCACATTTGAAAATGAATCAAATATGACCAGAATTTTAAGTTTTTATTATTCAATTCGAGCCTGGGTTACGTGTTATTCGATTCAATATGTAGGTTATAATTTCATAAAAATATTATTTGTGAGAAGAAATAACAAAATAGCATTTTTAATTCGATGGATAAATTTTGAGTTTGAATAATCAAATGATTGTATATTTTATTGGATGAACTCGAGTCTAAACTCAAATTTAAGCTACAGTAATAAAAAAAAGAAAATCGATTCAAGCCAAGTTGAATCCTAACAGAGGATTCAATAATTAAAGCGAGTTTGACAAATGAACTTGAGTTGAACTTAAACAATTAATTTGAGCAGAGCTAAGAATACTTACGATCGAAAGAGGGCACTCAATAACACCCCAATTTAAAATACACACCTCGTACAAAAAAACAAAAAAAAAAAATTAATATCATCAATTGGTTTGGCTGAGGTGGATGGATCCTGGGGATACAGATGCAAAAGGGTAGATGAAGAGAAGAGAAGATAAGAATAATATAAGTGCGTAGGTGTAGGTGGTGTGGCTGACTATTTCTTATGTTTTAGGACATCATGCATAGGGCTACGATGTTTTTATTACTTTTTGTCAACCCTATAATTATTAGCTTTTGCGAAAGACATAGAGATGTGACATTTGCTACATTGTTAGGCACCTTCGGTTTTTCTTTCTCTTTCCTTTTTTTTTTTAATTTTGATTTTTAAAAAAATTTCAATGATACCCTTTCTAATTTATCATATCTTCAAAAACATTCATTCTATTATTAAAAATATCACTGAAACCCCGTCTAGTTTATAATTAAACATCTCTCTTATCATTAAACCATCATTTATAATAAAAATAAATTATCTAAAATATCAAAATTACTCCTATATAAACTTCAAACTATCTTTTTATATAAAATTTGATTAAAATTCGAATCAATTAAAATTTATTTTTCTACATATTAAAATTCAAGTTAATTAAAATCCTTTTTTTTATGTATTAAAATTTGAGTCGTTTAAAATTCTATTTGAACTGATTAAATATTATTTTTTTATGTATTAAAATTTGAGTCGATTTAAACTTTACTTGAGTTGTTAACCCTGATTAAAATTCGTTTCGATTCGATTAAAATTTATATTTTTTATTTATTAAAATTCGATTCAAGTTGATTAAAATTTATTTTTTACGTATTAAAATTTGTGTCGATTAAATTTATATTTTTTATGTACCAAAATTCAGGTTGATTAAAATTTAATACGAGTTGATTAAAATTTAATACGAGTTAATTAAAATTTAATTTGAGTCTCGAATAGAATTTTAACTGACTCAAATTTTAATACTTAAAAAAAATTAATTTTTAATCAACTCAAATTTTAATACATAAAAAATAAATTTTAATTAACTCGAATTGAATTTTAATACTTAAAAAAATTTTAAAAATTAGAGGAGGTCTAATTAAATATATGTTTATCTAAAGGTTGTGTGGATGAAGTTTTTTCTAAAATATATCACGGGCAATTTAATAAAATTATATTCTAATTAATATTTTTAATTTGACTGGGGGTGTTGTTGTAGATTTAATAAATAAAAGAGATATCTTTAAAAATATGATAAACTAAAATAATTGTGACTAAAATTTTCCCTTCATTTTTTTTGTAATGCAAATCATGTGGCGGCTCATTGAGAAAGAGAAAATAACTAGAAAAAACTAAAACTTTAAAGGTAATTCAGATGTTTTTGGTTTAATTTTTTCTAAGCATCTTTAATAAGATTTTTTGTATTTTAATTATTTTAAAATATATATTTTTTATTTTAATTATTTATTTTTTTAATACACACTCTAACAAATTTTTAATATTTTAATTACTTTTAAATATTATTTCTCATATTTTGTACCTTTGTTTGAATTGTTAGAATAAAAAAAAATGGAGAGAAAGATAAAGAGTGAACAAAAGAGGTGGAAAAGAACAGGAGGAGAGACAGTATATTATTTTCTATTTATACATGATATTATAGTGATACTCTAAATATAGAGTATTATTATAACAAAATTATATTTTATCTATTTTGAACATCTTCTGTTAGGGTAAAGTTTTTATATTTGTATAACTACATTTGAACTATTTTACAGTTTTAACCATTTTTTTGAAAATGCTCTGGCAACTAGTCACTATTGTCCCTTAACAATATGTTTTAATCCAACTCAAATTACAATAATCAACCATTGAACTCAGTTAATAGACGGCACGACCCGAGCCAAGACATTAGCATAAAAAAAGCTAGGAAAAATTTCACCCACAATCTTCTTAGTTTATTATATCTTTAAGAATACTTTCTCAATTATCAAAAATATCATTGTCATCCCTTTTAATTTAATTTAAACATTACTAATATCTCTTACCATTAAACTACCATTTCTAACAAAAATAATTCATCTAAAATACCAAAAACACCCCTGCATAAACTTCAAGCAATTGTTCTATATAAAATTTTATTAAAATTTGAGCTGTTAATTTTTTTTAAAAAAAATCCTAAATAAAAATTTTAGTAAATAATTTGTTAATAAATACTAATTTTTTATTTACTAATTCGTAAATTTTTTAAAAAAATTGAAGCCTATTAAAATTTATTTTTTACATATTAAAATTTGAACTGATTTAAACTCTACTTGAGTTGTTAGTGCCGAGTAAAATTCCTTTTCGAATCGATTAAAATTTATATTTTTTTACTTATTAAAATTCGTGTCAATTAAAATTCGATTTATTAAAATTTGAGTCAATTAAAATTTATATTTTTTTATATATTAAAATTTCTGTTGATTAAAATTCAATGCGAATTGATTAATATTTGATTTGAGACGATTAAAAATAGTTTTTAATTGACTCAAATAAAATTTTTATTATCCCAAATTTTAATACTAAAAGAAATATAATTTTTAATTGGCTCAAATTTTAATATGTAAAAAAAATAAATTTTAATTAGCATAAATCAAATTTTAATCTGCTTGAATTTTAATATGTAAAAAAATTAAAAAATAGAGGAAGAGGGGATCTCATTGAAAATATGCTTATTTAGAGGAGGTGTGGATGAAATTTATTCTCAAATATATTATGGACAATTTAGTAAAATTGTATTCTAATTAATATTTTTAATTTGGCAGAAGTGTAATTGAAGATTCAAAAAATAGATAAGGTGTCATTGAAGATATGGTAAACTAGAGGGGTGTGATNAAAATATGCTTATTTAGAGGAGGTGTGGATGAAATTTATTCTCAAATATATTATGGGCAATTTAGTAAAATTGTATTCTAGTTAATATTTTTAATTTGGCAGAAGTGTAATTGAATATTCAAAAAATAGATAAGGTGTCATTGAAGATATGGTAAACTAGAGGGGTGTGATTGAAATGTTTCCAAAAAACTAAAAAAAATTTTGGTCTAACGCCGTCAAATTTAACGTCACTTGACACTACAATATGCCCTCGGAAGCAGCCATGTGGGTGGCGTGGGGCCACTGCCATACAAATTTTCGTCTACTCCCGTCCTATATAACAGCACCCACCACAATTACATAAAGACCACCACCGGCTTTGTGCTCTTGTCTCTCCCAAGTTGTATCCTCTCAGCCTTTTGTCTCAGGTTCTCCATTTTCTCTCTCTAAAATCCCTCTTTTGTTCCTCTCATCACCAAAAATGGAACTAGCAAAGCTTAGGCACAGATTCTTCAAGTTCAGGTCACTTGGCTTTGTTCTCTAATCACTCTTCATAGTAACTTTCCAATAGTATCCTAGCCCACTACCAAAAACTTTCTTTTACACCCTTAAATTTCCATTTTTATTTTCCAGGAAAACCTAATTTTCAAAGAAAACCTCAACTCTTTTCATTCTCAATAACCTGTCAAATCCTACCCATATAACTTTTCAATCAAATGTTTTCTTGGAACTACGACGTGTCACGCGCGGTTGTTGAAATGGCTTGGATTATGCTGAGGATTGACTACTCACGCCTCTTTTGGGTTCTCTTTGGTGTCTTCTCTTACGAAAATCATGAGGGAAAGCCTCGGATTTAGGGGGCTTCTTTTTACTCTAAAAACTTAGATACCTACGTAATTAGATACTAAACTTTGAATTATTGTCTCCTTCAAGAGAGTTCAACCTTTGCTCAATTGCTCTTGACGACGCTGCTTGCTTGTACCTCAAGCTCAAAGGTTCAATCATGAACAGAGGACGATGGAGAGAGAGCTCCAATGAAGCAGATGGTGATCATGGCTATGTTGAAACCGACCCATCTGGTCGTTATGCTCGTGTAAGTTTGGCTTCTCAGTGCTTATTTAGTTTTTTTTTTTTGGGTAAATTCAAACACATCATTGCTTATTTAGTTCTCTATCCAGTTTTAGAGTATTCCTATTTTGGTTTATTTTAGTTTAATTATGTATTTGTTGTAGAATCTCATTTACACTTTCATTGGCAACTATTAGCAGAACCACCCATCTTTTGTTTGTTTTGTTCAAAGTGATTGAATGGGTAGTGAGGCTTTCATGCAAAGAATCTGTAAACCTTGTTATCTATGCAGTTTAGAAGATTTTGTCGGTTTATTTTATTTTTGTTATGCATTTTTTTTTTTGGTAGAATCCCAGCTAAACTGTTATTGGCAACTATTGGAAGCATTCATCTTGAATTTGCTTTGTGTGTTATGAACAGTTCGAAGAAGTTCTTGGAAAAGGTGCAATGAAAACTGTGTACAGGGCAATTGATGAGGTGCTTGGAATGGAAGTGGCATGGAGTCAGGTCAAACTCCATGACTTGCTCCGGTCACCGGAGGACTTGCAGCGGCTGTACTCAGAGGTTCACCTCCTCAGCACCCTCAATCATGACTCGATTATGTGGTTCTACACGTCTTGGATCGATGTTGATCAGAGAACCTTCAATTTTATCACTGAGATGTTCACTTCCGGCACCCTGAGAGAGTAATTCCCTTCCCTCGATGTATGCACCTTTGGAATTTAAATGTTCCAAGTTAATTTTCTATGGAATGCCAATTTTTTTGAACTGATGTAGTTGAACCACAAGATCACTGAAATTGTTTTCATAAAGAAAAAATCCAAACACAAAAGTGAAAAAAAGAATAAAGTATCGCAAAAGTCTAAGTCGTTGATTCTTATTAATAAGGCTATATCTAGGATGGACTATTTGAATACGAAAAAATTGGATAAGGATAAGGTGGGATCCGAGGGCAATCTATTAAAGCATGTAAATATGATAACAATAAAAAATCAATTTGTTTATTACAATTTTGCATATACAGGTTATTCGCCGTTAGAAAATTTGCAATAACTTGGTGCTCTCAGTCTCAGTTGAAAATATTACTTATTGAAATCTCTTTATCTGGTGAGGGAGTACAATAACTTACAGGAACTTTACTTAGATATGCTCTACCAGTGAAGACCACAGAAACTTTAGGTCGCAATCATATGCGTTTACATGTAATTTTCTATTAATTACTGTTGGATTAAAACAACTTTGGTCTATTGCAGATACAGGAAAAAATATAAGAAAGTGGACATTCGTGCTATTAAGGTTTGGGCCAGGCAAATCCTAGAAGGCCTTGTTTACCTGCATGACAATGATCCTCCAGTAATCCACAGAGACCTTAAGTGTGATAACATCTTCGTCAATGGCCATCTTGGACAAGTGAAGATTGGTGATCTTGGACTGGCAGCAATTCTCCGCGGGTCTCGCATAGCTCACAGTGTTATAGGTATCTGGAGCTTAGCATTCCCATATGTGCATTTGAATGTTAAAGATTAATTTTGATGCATTAGCATTCTCATTTGACTTCCACTGTGATCTCTGTATAGACAGACACTGCAAGGGATTTCAGATGAGTGATAGGATGATAATCAGATCACCATGTCATGGTATTTCTGGATGTTGCTATTACATTATCAACTTGACCCAGTCCAAACTTAGCCTTTACCAAATATACCCCACTCAAATCTGTGCGGCCTATCTTCTTGTCACGCCATTACTCCAATGTCTGAGTTAAAAGGGATTCTGTCACATTGTCTTTGTAATTTTGCTGCATTCAGAAAAGTTCCTCTTACAAATACATCACCAAGTTATGTATGGTTACTTCCCTAATTACTTATACCTTCTTGTCCATGGCAATAGGTACCCCAGAGTTCATGGCGCCAGAGTTGTATGAAGAAAATTACAATGAACTGGTTGATGTATACTCATTCGGCATGTGTGTTTTAGAGATGCTTACTTCTGAATATCCATACAGTGAATGTGCCAACCCGGCACAAATATACAAGAAAGTGACATCGGTAAGGTCAGGTACCTATTGGGCAACAAACAAGTATCAGTCCTTCAGAAAATGACCCACATACCACTTTCTTCATTCAGGGTAAGCGACCAAGGGCATTCTACAAAGTTCAAGATTTGGAAGCACAAAGGTTCATAGGAATCTGCTTAGAAACTGCTTCAAAGAGATTATCAGCGAAAGAACTAATGGATGACCCATTTCTTGCCCTTGACGATGATGAGCGACACCGAAAGCTTGCACCACAAAAGCCATTCTTGAATGACACTGTAGGGGTTGACGATCTACGGCTGAATCGGAATCCACCAAGGACCAACATGACTATAACAGGAAAGTTGAATCCTGAAGATGACACAATCTTTCTGAAAGTGCAGATTGCTGATAAAGAAGGTATGAATTTTAAAGTATCACTTCTTTACTCATGACATGCTGCTCATGTTAAGTTGCATTTGGGTTTCTTCAGCAGACCTGGTGACATTAATAAACAGTATAAGAGTTGTATTTTGTGTTTTTCCTCCAAAAAAATATATTGAGTGACAACTTGAAAAAAATCAAAACTATGTATAGAAGGTTCTAGACCTTCACAAAGCTCACTCTCCTGCTGGTGGAAAAATTAAAAAACTGGTAGCTCCAATCCAAGCATGTTCCAAGGGAGGTTCATTCGGTTAAGTTCGTTTTGTGTTGCTTGCAGGACCGGCAAGGAATGTTTATTTTCCTTTTGACATTGTAAGTGACACCCCTGTCGATGTTGCAAATGAAATGGTGAAGGAATTAGAGATTTCCGACTGGGAGCCATCTGAAATTGCAGACATGATCGATGGAGAGATATCTGGACTAGTACCACATTGGAAATGGGGCCATTCTCAGTTAGCTCACTGTAATTTTCTTGAAGATGATGAAGATCATTTCTACTCTTTCTCATCTTCTTCATCATCCCCAGTGTCGTTCTCAGGCCTGGTCACTTCTCAGGGGACCGATGCAAGGACTCATTCTGGTGATTGGCTCCAAGGTATGGTTATTGAACTTGTATCTATGACTATGCCAGTGTGTTTTGCCCTAAATCAGTTCATTAGTAAATCACTATATAGCAGCACTGTGCTTATATTCTCACATTAATGAAAGCAACATTAACCAAAATGCAGGAAGACATGTAATGTTGATTAGGACTGGGAAACAAACAAGCATGTTTTGGTCTAAGAGAGGTGATAATCATAAGAACATAAATTGTAATCCGCTGAGAGTGGATTATTTTGACCTTCATGGTGGACATGGACACTATGAAATCAATTAATAGGTCATTCTATTTCTTCATTTCTTTCTGTTTGCTCTGTTTCCGTTGATTATATTCCAGGTTCTAGTTGATTAAGTACATGGTTTATTAGTGTATTATCACAATTATCACAACATAACTGGCAACATCTGTTGTTGCAGATGACTTGTTTGATGACACTAGCTCTCAGAGCTCTTTACTCTCGGGATATTCCAATGTAAATTATCATTCTGGTGATGACCATGACCCCAAAATAAGCCCTCGAAAACAAAATAAGCATGCCGTTGCAAATACCTACAACTCTACAAGATTCTGCCCAGGAGAGAGTTCAAGCAGTGGGCAATCCATGTCTAGGAATTGTTTTAACTATTGCAAACCTATTCAGGAATCTCAAGCAGCTTCTACTTCTAAAGAAAAACGCACTATGACCACACTGCAGTTAACAAGGAACCGATCCTTAGTAGATAGGCGTAGCCAGTTGCTGCATCGGTCGTTGGTGGAGGAGGTGAACAAGAGACGGTTGTTCAAGACGGTTGGTGCTGTGGAACATATCGGGTTTCAGGTACCTTGTGAAGTTTCCAGCAACATGTCACGGCCAGTGGTTGGTGCTTGTTATGTTAGAACAAGTGATTGTAAAAAGCATGGACAAAAAGGCCGAAGATTCTAAATTCTCCTTATGAATTTGTTAGTTGGTCAGAAGAATGTAATATATGTATAGTTCAGAAATAATTGCAAAATGGGTGTAAACATAAATAAATGGTTGTGCGGTGTTATGATATATTGCCTGCTTGTAGTAGACTCATTGTTGTGATCATTCTCTCTCATTCCCACATTGTAGTCCATTTGAGTACATCTCTTTGATCGTCCAAACCCCAAAGCTATTTCGGCCAACCTAAATATTGTTGAAGAAAGAGGGGAGTGTGCTGGCTCAGCAACAATGACATGTCCAGAGCCTAATTATGGTGGGTTGGATTCCACTGAAATTTCTGATAATAGAATTGCCAATACTTCACCTTTTTCAAAGTTTTTTTTTTTTTTATGTTTTCCAGTTTTTTGTGCTTTCCTTGGGGAAAAGAAAATTGATTATATGTAGAATAATGTTATTTAGACTTAATTTGTTAGCTTAATTTTATTACAATCGTGAGATTTACTGTAGACCCCATATAATATTGAAATTTGTTGTTAATCCAATAGCTGCATTGAATTAAGGGTTAATAGTATTTTTGATCCGTAAAGTATACACGTTTTATTAGTTTGGTCCTTAAAATATTTAATTTGTATTTAAATAGTCCTTACACGTGCAGACAATTAAATTTTTGTCAAAATGATCATGTGTTGGTCACGTGATACCATTTGAAAGAATGACATATGGTTGCTTTCGTAAAAAAATTTAATGAGTAGTCTAATTAGAGACCAAATTGACATAAATTAAAATTTTAGAGCGAAAATTGTGAAGAACAAATTAACAAAACTAACATAGTTTAAGGGACTAAAAATACTATTAACCCTTGAATTAAATTTGTAAATTATGTTTAAATAATATTATTCTCGTAAATAATGGAGCAGCATTTTGATTTCAATAATGGTACCTTGCATACACTGGAAAAACCAACTAGCCTTCCAAATTTAAGAAGAAAATANCTTCACCTTTTTCAAAGTTTTTTTTTTTTTTATGTTTTCCAGTTTTTTGTGCTTTCCTTGGGGAAAAGAAAATTGATTATATGTAGAATAATGTTATTTAGACTTAATTTGTTAGCTTAATTTTATTACAATCGTGAGATTTACTGTAGACCCCATATAATATTGAAATTTGTTGTTAATCCAATAGCTGCATTGAATTAAGGGTTAATAGTATTTTTGATCCGTAAAGTATACACGTTTTATTAGTTTGGTCCTTAAAATATTTAATTTGTATTTAAATAGTCCTTACACGTGCAGACAATTAAATTTTTGTCAAAATGATCATGTGTTGGTCACGTGATACCATTTGAAAGAATGACATATGGTTGCTTTCGTAAAAAAATTTAATGAGTAGTCTAATTAGAGACCAAATTGACATAAATTAAAATTTTAGAGCGAAAATTGTGAAGAACAAATTAACAAAACTAACATAGTTTAAGGGACTAAAAATACTATTAACCCTTGAATTAAATTTGTAAATTATGTTTAAATAATATTATTCTCGTAAATAATGGAGCAGCATTTTGATTTCAGTAAGGGTACCTTGCATACACTGGAAAAACCAACTAGCCTTCCAAATTTAAGAAGAAAATATTCGANTGATTATACGTAGAATAATGTTATTTAGACTTAATTTGTTAGCTTAATTTTATTACAATCGTGAGATTTACCGTAGACCCCATATAATATTAAAACTTGTTGTTAATCCAATAGCTGCATTGAATTAAGGGTTAATAGTATTTTTGATCCTTAAAGTATACACGTTTTATTAGTTTGGTCCTTAAAATATTTAATTTGTATTTAAATAGTCTTTACACGTGCAGACAATTAAATTTTTATCAAAATGATCATGTGTTGGTCACGTGATACCATCTGAAAGAATGACATATGGTTACTTTCGTAAAAAAATTTAATGAGTAGTCTAATTAGAGACCAAATTGACATAAATTAAAATTTTAGAGCGAAAATTGTGAAGAACAAATTAACAAAACTAACATAGTTTAAGGGACTAAAAATAATATTAACCCTTGAATTAAATTTGTAAATTATGTTTAAATAATATTATTCTCGTAAATAATGGAGCAGCATTTTGATTTCAATAATGGTACCTTGCATACACTGGAAAAACCAACTAGCCTTCCAAATTTAAGAAGAAAATATTCGATTTCACCAATCATTTGTCAAGAAAACCTCAAAGGGTACAGTGACGTATTATTGAGATTCCTTTCAATCTTTTGCCCATTCCTTTAGTCGATGTTAAAGCTTTAGACTAACTCCTAAAATTTCAGTCCAATAATTTTCACCCTGCCAAGCATTTTGTGCTGCCAAAAATGTTCTCAAGGTTAAGACTATGGTATTTCTCATATGAATAACACGCGTATGTCCATGGAATTTCTTTCCACCTCATGATGGCTTAGGCCTGTTAATGGACTAAATTGATTTGAATCTGAATTCAATTTTGTTTAGTTTAGTATTTNATGCGTATGTCCATGGAATTTCTTTCCATCTCATGATGGCTTAGGCTTGTTAATGGACTAAATTGATTTGAATCTGAATTCAATTTTGTTTAGTTTAGTATTTATATTGTATTCAATGGATTCATTTTGGATATATCTATCAATTTCAGTTGTGATTTCATTCAAAACAATACATATGTAAATAGAGGACAGGATTGAGTTGAATTTCAAATGCTTTGACCTATTCGGGTCANTATCTATCAATTTCAGTTGTGATTTCTTTCGGAACAATACATATGTAAATAGAGGACAGGATTGAGTTGAATTTCAAATGCTTTGACCTATTCGGGTCAGGTCAAGTTCTCGCTTCATTTTGTGATTTTTGGCATATTCAAATATAAAGTATTGTAGTTGATGTTTCTAAACCACATTCAGTTTCATAACAGTTAAAACAATTAAATCCACATACAATGGGCCTGTTCAGAGGGGCTGAAAACTTTAGCTTTTGTTAGATTTAGAGGAAAAGAAACCTGGTCCGTTTGAATCCGGGTTTATTGGGTNTTTCTTTGATCGTCCAAACTCCAAAGCTATTTCGGCCAACCTAAAAATTGTTGAAGAAAGAGGGGAGTGTGCTGGCTCAGCAACAATGACATGTCCAGAGCCTAATTATGGTGGGNCAGGTTTATTGGGTGATTTTTCCATCAGTTTTTTGGGCAAAAATAACTTTTATCAGCACTAAGAAAAAACTGAAAAATGAGGCTTATTCAATAACTTCCAAGGAAAAGTCGACTTTNTCTCTTTGATCGTCCAAACCCCAAAGCTATTTCGGCCAACCTAAATATTGTTGAAGAAAGAGGGGAGTGTGCTGGCTCAGCAACAATGACATGTCCAGAGCCNCGGGTTTATTGGGTGATTTTTCCATCAGTTTTTTGGGCAAAAATAACTTTTATCAGCACCAAGAAAAAACTGAAAAATGAGGCTTATTCAATAACTTCCAAGGAAAAGTCGACTTTTTCAGAAACACTCCAAACGGTTAATTCACTTTTTAAACCTTTATTTCGAACCTAAACAAATCTGCTCCAAACGGCCCTAATGTATTGATCAGCATAATAATGACATCTAATGTTTAGGTATTTCACAAAAGAAATAGAAGTGGTTTACAGAGTGATCATATTTTCTTCTTACACTTGAGCAACAACTTATCATGTGCCATGGCATGCCATGCTTATTTGTTTTCTATTTGAATCATCAGACATGTTATCTACAGAGTTATGCCTAATTTGCATGCCCAATGATTCATGTCATGAAACTTTATGGTGGATCCTTCCTGAATCATGATGTTCCCATCTTTTTCTAAAGCTGGCTTTATATTCCACTTATATGTAGACACCATTATTTCACTTCATCTCATAATGTTTTTAAGGTTCTAACTTTATTGCAACCTAAGAGAAAGCAAAGTTTGCTACATAGCAAAGACACAAACCCAGGAGAAGGAATTGAGAGTACTTGGACCTAATCAACTCACTCAATCACTTATAACTATTAGATTGATAGTAAACTTTAATTTTTTTTAGAATCCGTAACCAATTTAATAAGTGTGATGAATTAGTTCAACAAATTAAATTTAAATAACATTATTGTTATGTAAACAAGAAAACTATCTCATTGAGTGCATAATCATAGGGAGTTCCAAAACAACATCATGCCAGCTCGCTGTTCCCCAATCCTCAAGTGATCCTCCTGAGATTTAAGATGTCAGTTGAATTAGAACGTGTCANTGGCAAAGACACAAACCCAGGAGAAGGAATTGAGAGTACTTGGACCTAATCAACTCATTCAATCACTTATAACTATTAGATTGATAGTAAACTTTAATTTTTTTTAGAATTCGTAACCAATCTAATAAGTGTGATGAATTAGTTCAACAAATTAAGTTTAAATAACGTTATTGTTATGTAAACAAGTAGACTATCTCATTGAGTGCATAATCATTGGGAGTTCCAAAACAACATCATGCCAGCTCGCTGTTTCTCAATCCTCAAGTGATCCTCCTGAGATTTAAGATGTCAGTTGAATTAGAACGTGTCATGTTAAGTTTGTATTGTATGGATACTTATTTATTTTAAAAAAAAAAAATTTTTTTTTGGGGAGGGGGAAAGGGGGATTGAACCCTTGACCTCAAGAAGGCAAAACTTTCACAAGGTAAAAAGTACCATTGAACCAAAGGCTCGTTGGTTGTATGGATACTTATGTTACATGAAACATGTAAATTTCTTTGTTGATCTCAGAGTTATTTGATAATACCAAAACTTATTCAAAGTCAAGCTTAGCCCAAAAGCAGTTCGAAGACATGCCCCCCCAATAGGGGCTTGTGTGACGATGTCAAAATTTAGGTTCCAGTTCAAGACAACTAAGATCGGATGAACGAACTGAGCTCCCAATCCATATCTATCCAGCTTGTGACCCCAGCTCAAACCTCCCAACTCATGACCTTGGCTTGAGACCCGCAGATCGGGAGTTAGCACCAACGCGACCCTGCACATGACGACAGCGAAAGTTCACACTTTCTAAAATGCCATGTCACGCCTAGGAAACGTAGCCTCTAACGGTCAAATATTCTATCACATGGGTTGTAACAATCCCGAAGGGTTCACGCTGATTGCACAGGGACCATGCTCCTACACACTATAAATAGGAATCAATCCCTCACATTGTAGAGAATCGAATATCTATGAATTGACTCTCAAGGGCATTGTAATTATCTTCCTCAAGCAATAGAAAACACCCTTAAGAGCAAGAAACTCTATTAGAATGGACTAGCCAAACTTTTAAATTGGTAAACCACAATAAACCTCCTATCTATTGATTTCCATTTTATGTTGCTATCTTTGTGTCAATTGATTAACCATTGAGAGACTAGCAGTGTCCCTCATGAATCTTCAATCTATTTCTCCTTTTTTAAGTCCGGAACACTCTTATACAATTGCGTAAATTATGCCATCATTATTATAAATAGTAGTATTTGTAATATCAAAAAGACAACTTCAGCTGATCTGTTTGTTAGGATCATATAGTTTCCACCTTAAAGGGCATTACAGAAACACAGAGGATGGGATTGAAGTTAAGGTTCGGTAAAAGTTCCCTAACTACCTCTGCTTTTCATTTGTCATGCAGCTGAGACGGCTCAGACACTCTTCAATAATTTCCAGAATCTCAGGGTTGTGTTGGGTTTGACTCAGCTCAGCACTCTTATGGCGGCATACCGACACTATAACTCACCATCAACACCACTAATTTTGAAAATTCATCAAGCATCCATGAATTCCCGGAGGGAATAGGATTACGGTACCACCCCGGTACCTTAACGCGATTATTCTGGTTGCATAATTTCTAGCTATAGATTAAAAAAATAAATAAATAAACAACTATGCACATGTTACATGAAAAGTAAAGGTACGATGCCGAAAATTATTTTAAGGTACCGTAACTGGACTGCTGAATTCCTTGGCCTACACTCCATTTATCTCCAGCTGGCTTCTTTCTCCATTCATTTTTTTAGGTCAGGAAGAGGATAATTAGGTTCGAACCTACGAACTTAAGGTCCAACAGTTAAGGGTAGTGACTAATAAGTCAATCGCTAACCTCGATATTCATTAGTTCTTTTATTTTAATGCCTTTGATTTTTCTAGGATCCTCTAATTCAAAAATTGGACAACTTTTTTTCAATGTCACTTTGCCACCATTAATGGTAATTAATCAACAACTATCTCGACAACTTTTTTTTTTGGGGCCAATTTAAAAGGGGTATAGGAGAGACGATCAAATGTGGAATTGACGATCTAAGTCATAGATGANGTAAGAGGATAACTAGGTTCGAACCTGCGGACTTAAGGTCTAACAATTAAGGATAGTGACTAAAAAGTCAATCGCTAACCTCGATATTCATTAGTTCTTTTATTTTAATGCCTTTGGTTTTTCTAGGATCCTCTAATTCGAAAATTGGACAACATTTTTTCAATGCCACTTTGCCACCATTAATGGTAATTAATCAACAACTATCTCGACAACTTTTTTTTTGGGGGCCAATTTTAAAGGGGTATAGGAGAGACGATCAAATGTGGAATTGACGATCTAAGTCATAGATGAACCCTTATCCTATCAAACCGCTAGAAGCAACTCAACAGTAAGCAGTTCCTCTTTAATCTTTTCTTTTAGTTACTGGTTGGCATGCATTTTGATTCAGCCCCCTTACCAGGACGGTTCCAGCTAAGGTCCGAAGCATCCATTCTATTTAAAGTGCCTATATAGCTTTATTAACCAACATTCACTTGGCAATGCACATTTTTAAGCTGCTTTACACTGATCATTGGCCCTTTATCTACAGTATTTGCACTTTGCAATTGTATACACTAGCAAACATGTGGACCCCTGGTTACAATGCATTGCATTTGAGCTCTTTCTTGAGCTTATCCAAGTGTGTTCCATAGTTTTAATCTATTTTTCTTTTTATTTTTTCAGATAATTAGATATTGATAATTGATGTCGAATCTTCTTAGCTCCTCATCGGCTCAGATTATGAGCGATCCAAAATAAGATAAACCCGAGGCAGGGGGGCCAAGAATATCCCCGAGAATTTTCTTGATATACGATAAGTGATTTATCAATAAATTAGTATTAGTATTAGAGCCTAATTTAAGGTATGCAAGTGTAAATTTGTAGGGTATCTTTTCAGGAAGACCAGGAGTTGTGTAGAAGAATTTGTCAGTTGATTTTACATTCAGATTGTTTGTATACTCTTTGTTTCTAAATGTTCAAAGCTGAAAGTCAGGAAAGCTTGTAACTACAGGGAGTAAATTCTGAAATGGTAAGGCCCAGTGGAGTTCAATAATTCTATGACATGAAGTCTGATTCAATTCTTAATATTCAAAAATCAATTGCCTCAATAGTGATTATAAGGATCTTCTGTAGCTGCAAAAAATTAAGATAGAAAAAAAAGGAAAGAAAAGAAGGTAAATTATACTTTATACCCTGAAAGATTTTAAGATTCTTACTTTGCACCATCAAAAATTTAATTTTTCACATTTCACTTTCAATATTTCAAAAGTGTTGTAACGTGAACCTTCTATTAACTTTCCATTAGTTTTTCCGACAATGTCAATGTGTTGACTTTTAACAGACAAATAATGAAAGCTAAAAAAAGGGTCACATTGTAATACTTTAGATACATTGATGGTATAAAATAGGAATTTAAAAATTTTTGAGGGTATAAAATGCAAAAAACCCAAAAAAAAAAAATGATGACATTCTAGGAAGAGTATTTGTCACTGAATATATTGGTTCCTAAAGCAAAGGTTCATTAACTTTTAGCACATTACAAAGAACATCAAGCATTTGAAGTTAACAAGTTCATGACTTGGCCAATGATACTTACTGCTAATTCATATAGTAAAGGTTGAAAAATTGTCAAGTATAACTCGAATATCATATTAATTCATATCTCGAAATTGAAAGTTCAAATCTCGAGACGTCCTATCTGACCCAATACACATGATTTGTAGGTGATTGTGATCATCATCCCGAATTTACTTGGCAACTAGGAGAACAGTTCCCGGAAATCAAAAGAATTGTGAACTAGAAAGTGCAAAAACTGAAGAGTTATTAGAATGTAATTTACAAGCGGAGGTCAGGCATGTTGAACCAGATTTGCTCAAACGCCTTGACAATGAGATCATGATATTCACCAGAATTCAAAGAAAGATAGCAAGCAAGAAGCTCTTCCAAGTCCTTGGATGCACGAATATTATTCTCCACAATCATCTCCATCATAGACTCTCTGAAATCTTTCTCAGGATCAAATGAAGACTTCACAATTGCAAAGCTCTCCAAGAAGCTCTTCCTTTTCGACTTCGATCGGAGTCGGGTTGACACGCTTTTTCTTCCCTGAGCTTGAATTTTATTGCCTGCCAGTTTGGGAGAGTTGGCTCGGAGCTTCACTCCAGAAGAGTATGACACAGATTTTCTGATCAGAGGACTAATTTTAGTCTCTTTTTGGTTCCTTATTTTATCTTCTTTGACAATTCTGATCGCTACTGACCCTTGAGCTTTTATCTCCTCCAATTCAGATGAACTTGTCTCTTCAAACACTGCACTGATTTTTGCTGGCTTTGTCAGAATTGGAGGGAGGTCTAGCTCTGAAATTGGATCAAACCCATCTATTTTGTCAGTTGTTTTTCTGTATGATTTCTCATTCATGTCAATGACGATGTCAGTGGCTGAAGAACTGAATTTACAACTGCAAGAGTTAGACCACGAGGCCATTCCAGTGAAAGACTGATATGCTGCATCAGTGGTTTCGGACTCGAATTCGGATGAGAGAGCACCAAGGAGATCTGGCTCAAAGGAACTATCCGTGGAGTACCCCTGAGCCAGAGTTGGTTCAGAAATGCGACTGCTGATAGGAGATGGCTTGTAAATGGTCTTTCTTCTTGTTCTTCTCTGTGATGATTTTCTGGGTGGGTCTGGAAAGTGGGTGTCTGATGCTTTTGGGTTTGTGGGTGAATTGTAGAATTTGTCAGATTTGTTGGGGTCTGTAGTTTGGTAATTGGAGTGTGTTAGTTGAGATTGGTTTGGCTTCTTTGATTTTGTAGTTGGTGGAGGTAATTTTTTCTTGATGGAATGGGAGGTGCTGTGGCTTCTAGTTTTGCTCATGTCCCTCAGCTTGTAAAACCAAGCATTTGGTATCATGTCTGATAATCTGAACCTGTAATTGCCCATCAGAGCTGCTCTCTCTCTCTCTCTCTCTCTCTCTCTCTCTCTCTCTCCTGAGCTTGGCTTAGTGTTTCTGTCTATATAATAGCAGGGAATGAAGATGAATGAATAGACATGAAGAATGTGAAGAGAAAATTAGGGAAAGAAATGCACATTAAAAATTTGTGGGGAGTCCCCCGTTGAAAATAAGCCTCGAAAGCAAGAGGTCAGGGTTATATTATAGGAAAATGCTATTTGGACGTAATGACGTGGCTTCATTGGAATTATTTGAACACTAAATTTTAATGTTTGATGGAGTTCACATTCAATCCAAATATTATAGTGAATTAGGTCTCAATAACATTGCTCTATTATACGGCTTTCTTTCTCAAAACTTGTAAATCCTCCTCGCCAGTACAACAAATTAGAGTCGATAGAACCGCCAACAGGGTCAAACTTATCAAGTCCAAACCCGAATCTAATTTAGAGACTCTTATCATTTTATTAATTCCCATCTTATTTAATCAGATAATCTTACAATTAAGCAATATTATTGAAATATAATTTGAGAACATAATTTAGGGGCCTAATAATTGTAGCCATTAGATTGTCAATGAGTTCCAACATTAAATTATCACTGGATCTCAAAATTATCAATCCAATGATTATAATGCATTAAGTCCCTAAATTATGTCCAAATAACATTAGTGCTTAATTATATCAATTCATGTCCGACTAATTAAATTCGAATTCATACCAAATTCAAGTCAAAATATTATACTCTGAAAAACTTATAAGAGTATCTTCGACTCACTCTCTTTTTCCTCTCTTTTAGTTATTTTAGTTAACCAAACACTAAAAACACTCTCCAACTCACTTTCTATCCCACTCTCTATTTTCCGTTTCACCCGAATGACTCTTTAAATGTGGAGAGTCATTTAGCATATCTAAATTTTTTATTTACCTTTTTTTCTCTCTGTATATATATATATATATATATATATATTTTTTTCTCTTTAAGTTATTAGAAGTTAGTGAAAGTTGAATGAAATAATTAATTAAAATAGAGGATGTGGTTAAAATAAACTTATAAAAGTGATTAATTAAAATAGAAAATATAATATTTAAATATATTTTTACTTGTTATTTTTGAAGAATTGGATTGAAGGGTTCGAAATCTCTTAAAACAACTACAGGGCATTGGTGGAAAAGGTCAGCCTTAGTGATTCACAAAATTTTTGGTGCTTTGCATATACCGTTTTCATGACCAATAATGAGCTCCCACGTCACGGATTCACTACTTCTTGTTAGGGTACCTCGCTGTCTAAGTGCTTAGCTATATTGTTAAACAACTATAAAAATTGATAATGAAAGATGATTTTCCCAAGGCCCATATGTCTACTAAGTGCTCTTTTCCAGATTTTCATGCTCCATGAATGATGACATTCCTCAACACCTTTCAACTGTGCAAAGGTTGATCCACGAGCGAATGCTCTACTCTATACACACGTGTTTGAATATAAAATATCATATCTTATGAATATGCAGTGTATCAATATTTGGCATTTCAGGTATATTAAGAGAGTGTCACGTGGCAAAATTTGAAAAAAAAAATAATTAATTAGAGATTACTAGTTAGTAACAGTCGACGGAAGCCAAACTGTCAAAGACCGTGACTATAAAAAGGCATATAGTGGAAAAGATGAATAATACATTTAAACTTCCACAAGACCCACGATCTGGACATTTTTAATAGTAGTTTTAGATTAATTTTTATGAGACAGTTATTGTTAAGATCAAGACTGTTTATTCAGTATTTCTGTACCCGAAGTCCCTTCGATTGAATTGGTAAAAGAGTCCTCATTTATTAGTTTTTTTTTGATAAATTCCTCATTTATTAGTTTTATGTACTATGTGTTAGTTCATTATTTCTCTCCAGCCGAACTAACCGGTGGTGGTATGTTTCTGGCAGAACTAGCCGGTGGTGGTGTGTGATCTAATGCTCCATGTTATTAGGCCCTTATCAAACTGCACAGGGGTTGAGCAGTAAATGAAGCCATGTAAGGTATTAAAAGGCTGAGTGAATAGATAAATCGAAAAAGATTGATTTGCACTGATCAAACTACTAACAGATGTGAATACAAAAAACAAGTACATGATTTGCACTGATCACTCAGATTGAAAAACTTGATCCCTTCACCACAGGAAAGGAGTGATCCATTTTATACCAATTGATGGTGTTTATGTCTGGTTTAACACTAGTAGGGTTTTCATGATCAACCGTGTGTAGCAAATAATGCGGGGAATAGTTAATCGAGCAAATTGTCTAGATTATCTAACGATTAGTTCAGTTATTTGTCAGTCCAAAGAGGTTTCTAATAGTAAAAATTATCATTTGAGTGGACGAAAATTGCATATCTTAACTCTCGATATAAGTACCCTCTACATTACCCGACAATAGTTTAAAACATATCCTAACTCCCGAGATAATTATCCGAAATCATTTCTTTGGGTGTAAGCTTCTCTCCTTTTACCACCATTTTCATTTGGATCTTTACACTTGGTGTTTGTTTTTTTTGAAACCATTGCATGTGATGAAGAAGAGAAGTCATTTCCATATGTGGTGTCACCTAAAAGTCCAGAGATGATAGGCCAACATAGAGAAGCCTACCAGCAACCTTGACACTGACTGCCATGTTGAGTAGCGTCAACTACCAAAAAAGGAGAAGAGATTAAGATGGATTTGATATGAATAAATCCAGACACCACTAGTTGAAAAGAACATTGCAATAGATGAGGAAATTATTCCAACAAAGAAAGATGGGTGCATCAACAAAGAATAGATGCTGTGATCAGTGATTTTGTTTTTTTCTTTTTTCTTTTTCTGGGTAATTTTTCATGATTCAATCCACCATTCTATAAGTTTTTGGGCACTGTTGAACATGTCACAAGCTCACTATTCTCTCACATAAAATGTATTCATTTTCTCTTTACTATATGAAAAAAGAAAGTGGTGTTATGAGATAAGTCAAAAATAGACGAATTACTTTTGGTTTACTTAATTGGCTATAATGGGTGAACTTCTTTCTTTCTTTTATTAGTTTTAAAAAAATACTAAAAAACACGGGACTTTCAAACAGTTCTTTCAACTGCGGCGCAATCTCTTAACAAATTGTTTAGTTTAGTTGCTCTTTGGCTCCCTTTCACATCGGTTTTTCGTAGTCTTTTGCTAGGCACTTGAGGATTTAAAACACAATTTTTTTTTTAAATTAATTTCTTGCAAGAAAAAAAGAAGCTTTTTATGGTAACTAATCCTTACATAACACAATTTTGGAAAACAAATAGCCAAATGTGCCATGGATGAATCACTAAATACTTTTAATTATACATTTGGCTGTGGAAAATTCAGGAAGAAAATCAGGGCATGATGTAGATCTTCCACTTCTCTTTTGAAAGAAAAATGTTTGCTGAAGACACAAATGAAAGGCCAGTCTCCATGAAACTAGTGGTGTGGAAAATAAGGATTGATATGTTGGATGGAGTCATCATCTATAAAAGGGTAAATTTCACTCACCCTCCTTAGATTTAAGTCATATTTCACTGATACCCTTTCTTATTTTTGAAATATCACTGCACACTCCTGTCAGTTTTTTTGTCCTAATAAAATATGCAATTTTACTAAACTAACTTTACTAGAAATCTCATTTTACTTAATTACTCTTACTCAAATTAATAAAAGAAAATAATCTATAATTTTATCAAATTAACATCAAATTGACCTTTGATTTTGTTTGATTAATTAACATTAAATTAACGCCAAATTAACATTCACATTCATCAAATTAGCATTCAATTTATTTAATTAACATTCAATTTTATTAAACTAATACTAAATTAATATTCAATTTGATCTATTTAATACCAAATTAACTATCAATTTTATCTATATTAAACTTCATCAAATTAATTACCAAATTAATATTCAATTTGATCTAATTAATACCAAATTAACTATCAATTTTATCAAATTAACATTAAATTTCATCAAATTAATAAAAGATTTTACCAAATTAATGTGAAATTGATTTAAAATTTTATAAAATTATCATTTTATTTCAGCAAACTAATATTCATTCTCATGAAATCGATATTCAATTTTATAAAATTAACACTAAATCAATATTCAATTTCATCGTCTGCTGATAAGCTGGTTTGGCAGCCTACTAGATCTGGTGTTTTTTCTCTAAAACCAGCATAGCATTTAGTAAGGCATCAAGGTATAAGGAGTGACACTGTTGAGGTTATTTGGGGGTATGAGTACTGCACCTAGTGCTCAACTGGGGGGTTGGAAATTGCTAATGAGAGCCCTTCCATTGGATTCCAGAATTCAATTATGTGGTTTTCTTTTGGTGAGTAGATGTTATATGTGCCAGAAGGAGGTGGAGGATTCTGTGCATTTGTTTGTGGAGTGTGATTATGTAAAGTCTATTTGGGTTAGGCTTGCTAATATGATTGGATTTCAATTGATTGGTGGGGAATTTCCTTTGGTAAGAATGCAGAGACTCTGTAGAATTTTCAAAAAGAGGTCTGTGTTTCATAGTCTGGTAAGAAGCATTGATCTGTTCGTATTTTGGCAGATGTGGAAGGAGAGGTGCAGGAGGAGAGCTGGGGAGGGCCCGTTGAATACTTATTCTGAGAAGAGCTGAGGAGAGCTGGTGCCACACCAGAGGTTTATACCTATTCTGAGAACCAAGCAAGTTTTGGTTTTTGATGATCAAGATTGAGGTAATGTGTGGTTGTTTATGGTGTAGAAGACTGACAGAGTTGTTTAGGCATGTTGTTAATGCCTTTGATGGATTTATTTTTGGTGTGGATGGAATGAATGGTAGCCAGATGCAGATTGAAGATTCTGGGAGGAATTTTATTGTATTTTTGTCATTTTGAAAGATTATAGTCATGAAAATAGGATTGAAATGTATTTCATTCCTTTTGATTCTTGTAAATCTTTGATTCATTGGAAATAAAATTTCTCCTTTTTTTTTAAATATTCAACTTCATCAAATTAATATTTAATTTCATCAATTTAACATCCAATTTATCAAACTAACATCATTTTTTGGATTGAAAATCAAATTAACATTCAATTTCATCAAATCGATATCAAATGATCATTCAATTTTATAAAATTAACGTTCAATTTTTTGAATTTAATATTTAGTTTTATCAAATTAATATTATTTTTAAAATTAACACCAATTAAAAATTTTTTTTTATAGGAAACATTCTATTTAATTCAATTAGCATTTAATTTAATTAAATTAATATTAAAAGAATGTTTACAACTACTTTAAATTTATTTTATATGGTCAAGGGTAAATTTGGTAATTCATATGAGAATAAACCATCACATTGCACTAGGGGTAGTTTGTAAATGTGTATATAAACCATAGGGGTGTGTAATGAATTTTAAAAAACTAAAAAGGGTGTCAATAAAATATGATTTAAATTCAGGGGGTGTCAGTGAAATTTACCCTAGATTTAAATATCAAGATGAGTTTCATGCCAGCCCTGCATCGTTGGACTTTACCATCTCCTTGACAATTTTTGTGTAGGTACCCCATGCACCAAGCAGTACGCAAAGGTTTTTTTATTTGCCAGAAACTAGGAGAAGTGTTTGGGCACGGCCCATCAGAAAGTCATGCTCATGAGCCTTAAGAAATAACAGCAAAAGTTTTCAATGTTAATATCCCCTGATTAGACAAGTTGATTGAGAAATATTTGTGCATGTCAACTTTTCTGTTTCCTGAGTTTAACGACTCAAACAGTTGTTTGCAAAGCTGAAGAACTCTGCCGAGGATCAACAGTGGCCTAGCTATGTAAGAGCATCTTCAACCATGTTATTTAAAATATTTACTTAAAATATATTTAAATATTATATTATCTATTTTAATCAATCACTTTTTCAAATTCACTCCAACCACGGTATTTATTTTAACTAATCACTTCAACTAATTTTAACAAACTTTCAATAATAAAATTCAAAAAATATCAATTCAACTATAAATTGTATAAATTTAATCAATTATAGGTTCCAAGAGAGAACCCACCTCTTAAAATTACAAATTGAGGGTTTTACTGGAGGAGGAGTTTTGTTGGATCTTTTTATGGAGGACGATGGAGTTTCAAGGATCTAAGAACTCATCTAAAAAACGCTTCATAATCAACCCAAACCCACCTTGCCACCGAACCCATTCAAGAATCTACCAAGAAATTTGTGGATGTGGATGTTGGTAAAGAGAATGCAGCAACATAATTGGAATCAAGGGTTTTGAGCAACAACATTGTGGACGTGGGTATAAACTAAAACAATGACAGAGGAAAAATGTAAATAAATATTACCTTATTAAATTAGACGATGTTGTGAAGACGATGGATGAAGACGTTGTAAGAATTTTAATGATTCGTATATGAAATTTAAAACACCTAAGTTACAAGGTTTAGAACATACATGTTTGAGTCATGATACTCGATCTCTGGATTTCTTTCGTGAAAGGGCAAGGTCTTCCTCTCCTTATTCAAAACAATAGGTNACCAATTAAAAATTTTTTTTTATAGGAAACATTCTATTTAATTCAATTAGCATTTAATTTAATTAAATTAATATTAAAAGAATGTTTACAACTACTTTAAATTTATTTTATATGGTCAAGGGTAAATTTGGTAATTCATATGAGAATAAACCATCACATTGCACTAGGGGTAGTTTGTAAATGTGTATATAAACCATAGGGGTGTGTAATGAATTTTAAAAAACTAAAAAGGGTGTCAATAAAATATGATTTAAATTCAGGGGGTGTCAGTGAAATTTACCCTAGATTTAAATATCAAGATGAGTTTCATGCCAGCCCTGCATCGTTGGACTTTACCATCTCCTTGACAATTTTTGTGTAGGTACCCCATGCACCAAGCAGTACGCAAAGGTTTTTTTATTTGCCAGAAACTAGGAGAAGTGTTTGGGCACGGCCCATCAGAAAGTCATGCTCATGAGCCTTAAGAAATAACAGCAAAAGTTTTCAATGTTAATATCCCCTGATTAGACAAGTTGATTGAGAAATATTTGTGCATGTCAACTTTTCTGTTTCCTGAGTTTAACGACTCAAACAGTTGTTTGCAAAGCTGAAGAACTCTGCCGAGGATCAACAGTGGCCTAGCTATGTAAGAGCATCTTCAACCATGTTATTTAAAATATTTACTTAAAATATATTTAAATATTATATTATCTATTTTAATCAATCACTTTTTCAAATTCACTCCAACCACGGTATTTATTTTAACTAATCACTTCAACTAATTTTAACAAACTTTCAATAATAAAATTCAAAAAATATCAATTCAACTATAAATTGTATAAATTTAATCAATTATAGGTTCCAAGAGAGAACCCACCTCTTAAAATTACAAATTGAGGGTTTTACTGGAGGAGGAGTTTTGTTGGATCTTTTTATGGAGGACGATGGAGTTTCAAGGATCTAAGAACTCATCTAAAAAACGCTTCATAATCAACCCAAACCCACCTTGCCACCGAACCCATTCAAGAATCTACCAAGAAATTTGTGGATGTGGATGTTGGTAAAGAGAATGCAGCAACATAATTGGAATCAAGGGTTTTGAGCAACAACATTGTGGACGTGGGTATAAACTAAAACAATGACAGAGGAAAAATGTAAATAAATATTACCTTATTAAATTAGACGATGTTGTGAAGACGATGGATGAAGACGTTGTAAGAATTTTAATGATTCGTATATGAAATTTAAAACACCTAAGTTACAAGGTTTAGAACATACATGTTTGAGTCATGATACTCGATCTCTGGATTTCTTTCGTGAAAGGGCAAGGTCTTCCTCTCCTTATTCAAAACAATAGGTGACTCTCAATGAAACAAGCCAAATTAGGGTTATGAAGTGGAGAGGGGACCTAGCCTGCTATTTATAATGAAATCTAATGGGCTCTCCTATTACGGGCCACAATTAGATTAAGACCTACACTTAACCGCCTTAACCATCAATTAAAAGATGTATATAAGTCCATCAAAATATATCACTTAATAATATTGAGCTCATCTCATTGGACCATAAATTCAACTCATTTTTCACAAACTAAAAATTAACTGTCAATTAATGACAATCTAATGTAAAAAAAATTCCAACATACGCTACTGTGAAGTCGAACACGACCTGTGATGAAAACGATGGGTGAAGTCGAACACGATCTGCAATGATGGAGCTCCTTTTGTGGAGTGAAGGTTTTGGCGCAAAAAATGGCATTCGTTGATGAAGTAGCTAGCCGGGGAGGTCGCTAGATGTAGCGAGCAAATATCTGGTTATGGAAAATATATAGCGAGATACCTAACCCGTTGGAGCCAACATTTCTGTACTGACTATCTAAAATAGCTAAAAAACCCCCTTTACATAGCCCATGGAGTTGCTCTAACCTCGACCTGTCATTGGATCGTTAGATCGTGAGTTCAAACCTCGTCAGCCCCTTTCTCTTTAAAAGTTTTACAAAAAAAAAGCTGAAGAAAGAGAGGGAGGAGTGGGGATGAGGTTTGAACCCCCGATCAGTTGCAGGCGTACTAATCTACTTGTATGACCTATATCCCACAAACAAATGTGACAAGTTGCATCCAATAAATGATAAGCAACATGGTATAAATATGATGGAAATCATCAGCCAGATACATACAGATACAATTTAAAAAGCAACAGACACATCCCTGCACCTTCAAAACAGATATATCAAAATAACCTGAACTTAAAAGGTTTGATTCAAAAGACAACATACCATTCTAACTTTGAGGCAAAATTCCATTCATTCAAAAGGACAATGCATAATTGTATTTGGCACCAAAAAGTGATTGGATTTTCCCGCGTTATCAGTGAGCCAGAGGAACTCCTCCTAGCAGATGCCATTTGAGATTACATTTTTGAGGTATATACCCTAGATCTGACCACCGTCTCTCCAAATTTAAACCCAGGTGCTACCATAAACTCTACTTTGAATCTTGACCGCTCTTCATCATACACTACCATGTCTCCCTCGTATTCCGGTGCACGTTCCATATAAGCATCTGAGAATTCACTCCCTCGCCTAACACCAAACATTTTGACTTTTGGTTCGGTTGAAGCTGCGAGCCCCCGAAGAATAAAAACCCACCTTGCCATTTTGAGGAAAGCTTGGTAGAATGGCGTCCTTGGATGCCTTCCACTAGACACAAACGACCTATGATCCAAATTCCCAAAGAAAGACGCTTCCATCTTTGGATGAACTACTAACAGGTACTTTGTTCTGCAAAAGTTGGAAAAACTAGAATCTGGTTCTTCTATCAGAGCATCAATTGGGTCATCAAATTTCACAATATTGCCAACATAGTAAGATTGGAAAGATATCTCATAAAACATTCTACGCACAATGTAAGCTTCAAATGCATACTTCTTGTGGGACCTCTTTGAATAGACAACCGAATTTTCAATTGCATTTGCTGCCTTATCTAGATCCCAACCTGAAGATTTCATTAAAGCAATTAATGGCTTTGTGAAATCATGAATGGCCTTTGACGCTGCTTTGGCAATGTCCTGAAAGGAAGAAACATTTAAGAGCCCAGCATCCTCCTTTTCTCTCTGTCTCAACTCTTCAACCAGTTTTCTGTTGTTCAAATCCAGATCGTGAAAGTCATGCCGCAAACTAGCTATCTCAGCTTCCTTGACCTGGTTTTGGGTCTTCAATTTCTTTAACTGCCTCTCTTGAACTTGAATTTTCGCTAGCAGAAAAGCTAAACAAGCCAAAATTGAATTGAATTTTCCAAATTGCTTCTCTTTATAGGCACGCTTAATCTTAGACAATGCTTCAAGTTGAGAGACAATGACTTCATTAGAAGCTCTAATTTTATCTGGGTCAAATGAAATATGAGCACCTTGAAGATAAACATACGCTAATTTGAGAGCCGAAATTGCTTCAAACAACTTCAAGATCACATGATCACATTCCATGCTTTTGATTTGTACCTTGACCGAGGGATGAACTTTCTCGCCATCACATTCACCTTCCTCAGTATCATAGCTACTGTCATCGGCCAATGGCAGAACATTGGTGCCATTGCTTGGACATAGTTGGTGATGGTGAGGGTTTTCCGAGCGCAAAACACCAATGGACCTAAATCTACAAACTTTGGCAAATGTGGAGCCGATTTCAGATATGTTTGAAGGAGGCTTGAATGGTTTAGCTGCACACTCCATTCTCCGACTATATGATTCCAACTCACCCACTAAAATCAGATATTTGGGTCGAATATTCAATCAAGCAATGTGATTCTAGTTCCCAAGCAAAGTAGGTAAAAGAAAGCAAAACAATTAACAAAGTGGGCTCAGAGTGTGCATAGCATTGGTGTTGAAGAACTCCTTTTCTTCCGATAAGATATATCACTCAACAAACGAGTTAGGGTATAGTAAGCTCCAGATTATCAATGGTTGCATAGACTTGGGGAAAAAAAGTGGAGAAAATGAAAACATGATTCCAGACGATGAATAAAAGTACTCAATACATTACTTAGGCATAAACCACCGATTGGATGGACACGAAATCTAGGGTTTTCAGTCCAAATGCCTCACCACAGCTCAAGAGGCAGAGACATCAGCATTACACCGCTCTCAAATCAGAGATTCAAAGTGTAAAAGTTAAGTAGACTTACTCTACTGCGAGAGAAAACCCCCCGGAATTGACGGAAACCATCGATACCGCCAGACAGTAAGGCCACAACAACATTGCAATTACTAGCTAGCTCGAATCCAGCAAAGATCTGAAGATACAGTGAAAGAGATTGCGAATCCAGACAGGTTTAGCTTTGAAGAACAAAAGGCGTAGCTTTTTCTATAGTGAAAGAAAGAAGTAACACTCACTTCTCTCTACTGGCCTAAAGATGGAGACGTTGTTAGACTTCCACCGACGACGCCATTTCAGACCCTTTCAGATATTGGTTCACCTTGAGAAAATTGAGTGATAGGAAAGTTAGGTGGCAACCAAGTCAGATAATCCCCGGACAGCATTGGGATGTGTGTGTGCAAACAAACGAATGAATCTGGAGTGAACTGGTGGCGCTTGATACAGTAACCAGAGAGAGAGAGAAAGAGGTGGGGGACAAGTCGCAACCCGCAGGTTTGAATTCTCTCTCTCTCTTCGTTGCGGCCCTTGCGGGCGCCCCAGAATAATTTAACTATAATTCTATGTTTGCCCTGAAGCTTTAAATAATATTATCTTTAACCATTTAAGTTTCTAATTTCCCAACAGGGTCCAAATATTTTATTTTGCATCTGGGCCTATTTTCAGATCTCATATAAAAACATCGACTAAAAACTAAAATAAATAAAAGGGCCAATTGAATCCAAAATGAGATTCCGAAATTTGAAATTTAAATAAATATGAATTCGTAGATCAGTGGATCCTGTTAAAATTTTTCTTCTCACAATCTATAATTGCTTCTTTTAAAAATAAAAAATTTATTTAATATTATAGCTAAAAAATTAATTTTTTAACTTATAAAAATACAATAACGATTAAGATTGATTTAATGTTCATCTATTATTCTAATGGTATAAAATTCGTCATAATTTTTTTTTTCAATCAAAAACATATATTCTCTGTAAGATACTCAATATCAAACAACCCAACTGGCAGAGTCTCCATTACCAAAAAATCTCACTAATCACATCTAATTGTCTCTTTTCTCTTACCTACTTTTCTCTCAATTTCTTCTGTTCACTTTAATTTAAATTGTATAATTAAATAAAAAGTAAAAATAAATTATTATTTAAAATATAAATATTACACGATCAATATTTGATTTTTGGTATTACATAGTGTCTTCATATACAAAATTATTGCTAATAAATCTAAATAGCTAATAAATTATATTCCCTCATTCCCAAATAAATTCAATTTTCCCTAATTGGATACTAATCAAAAGCACATGAAATTCTATGGGAAAATTGGAATCAAGCCCTCTTTCTCAATTTATTTTGTCAATAAGGATAAGGAGTGAACTTATAAGTCATTAAGGACATATAATCTATATAATAAATCAACTAATTTTATCTCATACACATTTCTCCTCCAAAAAAAAATCTCATCACAACCATCACCTCTGTTTGTGACCGTTACTTTATCTCTGTCTCTCTCTCTCCCCCAATACACTGTCACACACACACACTCTTTCTCTCACAATCTCTCCTTCGTTATGTCTCACAATTCTGCATCTCTCTCTCTCTTGCCATAGACGCACGAAGAACAACACCACCACCACCAAAGTATTGTCCTTCACTCCCCCCCTCTTTCTTCCCCAACCCCTGCTTCACACACAAACACCCCCTCCCCCAAAATCCTCACCCTCAAACTTTCATAGATTTCTCACAGTATATCTCTCTCTATCACTACATAGAACACAAACAACACATGCACACATGCAAAAGAGCACCACACACCCCTCTTCGTCTCTACCTTCTCTAAATCCCTTTCTTTCTCACTCTCTATCTTCATCTTTGCACAAACACACTTCCACACACTATACATTAAAAGTCACCCATTCACACTCGTACATACAATCACACACTCTCTCTCCTATCCTCACCCTCCCTTTGACTCTCTAGCAAGCGACGCTTGGTGAATTTGGTGTTGATTTGTTATTAATCATCATGCATACGAAGTGTTTGTTAAAACCCCAAAACCATCTCATCACACCCATTATCTCTGTTTCTGACTGTTACTATGCCCCTCTCTCCCCCCCAGCACACCGTCACACATACACCCTCTAACAGTCTCTCATTCACTTCCTTTCACAATTTTGCATCTCTCTCTCTCTCACCATAGACGCACCAAGAGCCACAACACCACCACCAAAGCCATTATGCCACCACCAATGTATTGTCCTCCCTCTCATCCGCTCTCTTCCCCTCCCCCAAACCCCTTCAAACCTCGTCAATTTCTCACAATATTTCTCTCTTTCTCTCTCACTCACACACTGCACAGACACACACAACACAAACAACATATTCGCACATGCCATAGAGTACCACATACCCTCTTCATCTCTCCCCTCTTTAATTCCATTTCTTTCTCACTCTTTGTCTTCGTCTTTGCATAAACACACATCCACGCAATATACACTAAAAGTCACACAGTCACACACACTTTCTCTTTGACTCTCTAGGAAGTGACGCTTAGTGAATTTGGTGTTGATTTGTTGTTAATCATCATGCATATGAAGTTAGGGATGACGGTGGACTAGGGAAAATGGGTATTCGTCCAAACCCGTCCCTTTTGGACTGGGGATGAACTATACGTATTAGACGGTGGACGTATACAGGAATACCCGTATAAACCCATGTGAGAATGAAGGTGGGAATAAACTTACCCTTATCCCCGCTCCGTCCCGTCCCCGTTATATATATAAACTCCTAGTCAACAAACTGTCCTTGCTTTGATATTCCATTTATGGAGGTTGATAGTATTTTTCTTATGATCATCAGGTTACTGATCCAGTCCTTGCATGATTAGTAAATAATTGTTTGGCTTCTTATTTCACTGTTAAACCCCATTAGAGAGCTATTGGCTGCAGGAAATGCAATAGTTGTGGGATCAGCACAGTAGTGGAAGGTGAAAAGTTGAGGTTAATGTGCCTTGCAATTAGCATAATGTTTACAATATCTTTGAACCTCTTTCTTTTTAATGTTTGCATCATTGGAGAAGATGAGCAAAGGAGTGTCACCCTGTGGCATTGTTTAGAACATGTTCAAACCATCTTAAGGTGAAGAATACAGTGAAATGCTAAGCACGAGATTCTTATCGTATTGTTAACTTGGCTTGGAATTAATTGTTTTGGCTCAAAATTAACTATTTTGCTCAAAATTAATCGAGTTTCGAGTCAAATTGAGAGCATCCAGATTCACTGATATTAGTTTCTTTGTATTTTTGAAAATATTTTAATACATACATATGCATATGAAAGGAAAAGTGGCAAGCCTGTCTCTGGTTGGTAAACATGCTCGACACAGTAAATTTTGATAAAAATTTCCTTGCCATTCTTACGATTGTGAATTGTTTTTTCAATTTCAAACTGAAAAGAAAGTAATATGGCATTTTATTTAGAATTTGGGATTATGTTGACCTGAACTTGGGCTTAGACTTTGGCTTGGGTGGGTATGAGGGAAGCGGGACAGGGATTAAAAATTTATCTGCGGACGAAGTTGAGAATGAAAATTATACCCGTTAACGGGGGTGGACCGGAGATGAACGAATATTTTTTAAACGGGTACGGGGATGAAGACTATACCTCCAGCTCCGCTTTGGTCCATTGACATCCCTATATGAAGTGATTGTTGAAATGCATGTGGGAAATGTTGTGTAGATGGGTTGAATTTATGTTCCTCTTTGATGGGTTTTGTTTGATTCAACTTCATTTGCTCTTCCATATGGCATTCGTCTCCCATCTTCTCTTCTTTTCTCTTATTTGCAACACAAAACACACACCCACCCACATAGAGCACACGCATACACACCCAGCACACACAACGACATGATCGGCATGAGGGGCTATGTTGAAGATCTAGTGGAATCGATATGCTTCCACAGCAACGGCATGATCGATAGTGGGTTTTTATTTTCTTGGTGTTTTGGGTTTCTTCTTTTGTTTATATTTATTAAACTTTTCACTGTTATTTTATTTATTGCATGTGGATTTGGCTGTAGACTGTTCATTCCAATATTGGCTCAAATGTCAACCATTCTGCTACTACATTTTCTGTCTTGATGTTGGCTCAATTGTTGGATGTGAATCAGTAAGATTAGGAGACTGTGAGTTTAAAATTTTGTTTTTTTCATAAATATTCACATTTATGCGTGTTATTGATGCATGAAAAGAGCCTGAAGTGTGAGTTTAAAATATGTTTTTGATTGCTTCATACTAAATGCATTTGGTAGTGGAATAGGGAAGATTAAAAAAAAACAATTATGCTTATAACAGTGAATTTTATTTTTGTAGCAAAGAGAGAAAAATTCAATACTCCATTTGGTAGTTAATTTTTTGTTGTTTATTGTAGGTGTATGAATCACTTTTGCAAGGGGCTATAAAGGTTCGGGTGGCAATTTGTAACCATTCCAGAATCCAGTGTTCCTTTGAACCCCAATTCAAGAAATGGTACTAGAAATTATGGGATAGCGTCACACATAGCCGATTCTTCCTCTACTTGCCTGAGCATATGCTGCATGTTCATGGTTTGGCTCATTATCGTTCCAGCAGTCGAGTCTGCACGGATATTAGATGCCACACCTAGCCGGGGCCGACCACCGGAGCCTAAGGCCATCAAAACGATGGCTTTAGACCTCATCAAAAAATTTGCCCCAAAATTTTTTTTATAGAATAAAATAAGGCCCCAATTTTATTATGTAGTATAGTTTATGTAGAATTCGGTATGAGATAACTTTGAACATTTTCACGAATTCTATATTTTCACCTAGAATTCTATCTTTAAGCCATTGGATTTTGTTATATGCATTTGTTTGGCACTTCAATTATATCTAATTCTTTGTTTACCACTTTACCTCGATAGTGTAGGATTGATCCATCGTATAGATTTGTTGTGTTGATCGTGCTTATGTTTGAATTTGGGTTATAGTTGAAAAGGTGCTTGATAAAGTGTAAATTTTGTGGCAAAAACATACTATTTCATTAATATTTACTTTGATTTCAATTGAGTTTTTGTGGAGCCAAACCCACTACAAGGTGTTCGGGGCGAAACAAATATATACTAGATTAAGTTATACGCATTGAATGATCGTTGTATTACAACACTTATATTACAGACGTTGCATGCTAGCATTGTATTTCAACGCTTTTGTTTGCACTCATCTTGGAAAAAATAGGTGTTATTTTGTGTTTAAAGGTGGAAGTTGTGTTCTCTTAGATACCGTTTAAATATTTTAATCTTTGTTATGCTAGGATGGGTTTATTCATGTGTTTGGACGTGGTGTTCGGTGATGGTTTTGAAAGATATGGATGATGGTTTTTAGTTTGGTTACATGGTGCCTTCAAGTACTTCAGATGCATAAAAGGGACATGTTGTTTATTTTTTAATTACATCCATCTTATTTGTTGCTCTATATAAGCAGCACAAAATGATTTATGGGTCTTGATTAGTCAACACATATTTATTGGATTGGTGTAACTAAATTTGAGGAATGTCATACAAGGTTAGCAGTTTATTTGTTTAATTAATATTTTATAGAGGGTAGATTGTGTAATTAGCGTTTTATAGATTGTATATAAAGGTTGATATTTTCTTGGGGTCCTGTTTTTAGGAGAAATTTTGTCCAAATTTTTTAAAAGAACAAGAAAAATTGCTTTGATTAAATATTGACAATTTTTTTGTTTAGCATAATATAATGCCTTTAGGCAAGAACGTTTCTTCTAATAGCATAAGTTTATAAATTCCTATAAGTTGGCTTTTGAGTAAATATTTATGGACGCTATTCTGAGTTCTAATTACATATTTAATTTAAAGCATATAAAATTTATAGGTTTTCAGTTATAATTTTGTATGACTTTTGTTGATCCCAAAAGCAACACCAATAGATTGTTTGATGACTTGTCGGTCTCAAGCGAGCACCTACAAGGAAATTGAAGACCGAAGGGGATCTAGGGGTCGACCCTCCAATGATTAAGTCAATAAAGGCGAAAAGGATTGCTTAGAATTGAACTGAGAGGAATTACTTACCTGGTTCCTAGCTTACCCCTTTCCTTTATAAGTTTTTAGCCTCCTTAACCGTTGGAGCTCCTTTAGCTATTTTTCAAATGAGGCACCTCAAAAAGTGGTACTCCCTTTCAACAGCTGGAGTTGGTTTGAGCTATTATCCTGGAATCGAGTGAGCGAATTGGTGATGCAGTTAGGATTTATTGCACACCCCATGGCCCTTGTGCCTCTTCACGGGCCCTAGGCATGCACGTGTTTTGGCATGCACGTGCATTTCTTTAAAGCAAAATTCACATCCATCAGATGTCCCCTAGCTCAAAATTCATATATATGTTGTGAGTTGATTACATTTCTCTGTTGCACTTAGCCTCCAAAGAGTCATTGTGGACCCAGCCTATAAGAGCCTTCCTCCTTCTTCTTTGGTGAGACATCGAGAGCCTTTGGAACTCTGGTATACTTCTACCTCTTTGCCTAATCTTCTCTTTTATTCCTATTTCAACAAGACTTTTCGCTCTAGAGCATATAGGTTAGAGCCACATATTTCAATTTCATTTCTATTGCTTTTGTTTCTTGAGGTGGAGGAATTTTGGCTAAGATTCTTTAGGGTTTTTTATGAGCAAGCCTAATCGCACTCGGCTTGCTTTTGTGTCTGAATGTTGTCTTTCCTTAGTGGCTTGAAGTCTGAATCATTCTTTACCCCTGAATTTGTACATCAATCATCATAGCTTCCTAGTTATGGTAATTGATTCTAATCAATCCCTTACCGAGAATGTCTTAACGCTCGTAGCTTAGGCAGATGCAGCCAACGAGGACTCCAACTCCATCTAATAGATTGGGTATTCAACTCTAAGAATTAGTGGGGCTAAGAATTTTCATAGTTGTTTGAGTGAAAGCCCTCTTGGAGAACTTAGGGCTCAATACTCAATTCCTGACTTGGTTCATTTGTGACTCCCCTCTAATAATGAAACTGTCAATTCCCTTTTTCCTAAGTGAGCTTGCTTCTATGAGTCTTCTTTTGAGGTTGGACTCCGATTCCCAATCCCTAAATACATTGGGGAGGTACTTTACCTCTTGAACCTTGCCCCTGCCCAACTAACCCCTTACATTTGGAGCTTTTTGATTGGTATAGGCATCATCTGGGCTAGGGCAAATAGCGCTGGTGTTCAAGATTGAATCAAACTAGCGCTCGACT